GCATCAGCGTGATACACGGCGAGCGATGATGAAACATGGCCGAATGACGAAATTGTTGCGTTTCATATGTACAGCCGTCTGCGACGGAGAAGAAGCTTCACAGGTCGTATGCGAAATCTCACTCGGCCTTGTACGCGACAAACCCGACAAACCGGTGTTTATCTTCCTTGCCTTTCCCCCCCTTCTTGTCCGCACATTGCTCCAGGGGAGCACGAGCAGCCGCTTTGCTTCATCTTGCCGGCCTCCAACACAGCGCCCACCATCGAAATGCACAAGCACTTGTTGGCTCGCGTCGTGAGGCCGGGGGACGTTTTCGTCAACGTATTCCCGAAGCACCAGGAGGAGATCCTCGAGCAGCACGACTACCCCGGCGAGGTCCTGCAAATCCTCGATCCAGCGGAATTTACGCAACGGCTCTGCTCCTGCCGCGCCATAGTCTCGACCAGGTTTCACGGCGTGATCCTCGGCCTCCACATGGGGGTACCCACGTTCGGCGCCTCCGACATGCCGTACGGGAACAAAGTCCCGGGTGTCTTGATCGACACCATGCGCCTACCCGAACAGTACCTCGTCATCAATGAGGGACTCACTCGTGAGGACCTGGATCAGGAGGTCGGCATCATTAGAGGGCTGTACGCGAGTCACGGCCGTCGCACGTCCATCCACGCCCGGCTGTCCGAGCTATCAGATGACTTTGAATCCCACGCAGAACATGTGCTCTTCCATGTCCTTGACGTCGAGAAGCAGGAAAGCCTGGAGAAGCAGCAGCAGCATCGGGCGGAAGACTTTTTTTCTGACAATGAGATTACAGCGTTCCTGCCGGCGGCCTCCGCGATTGCAGGCAACACCGCGTCTGAACTGCGTTCCGGCTCGAGCGTTTTGCCCAAAAATGACGGTAGCGAAGCTGCGGCAGCCATCGCCAGTAGGGCCGTGGTTGTCAAGGCCACCAGTGATCTCGCTCCCGAACTCGAAACCAAGAAGGAAGAGGAGAAGAAGAAAATGAAGTCGGAGAAGAAACCGGTTTTGACTGAGGAGGTCGAGACAGAAGCGGAGAAAAAGCGAACAGCCGCGGCGATCTCACAGGAATCTCTACCAATGATAGAGCGCGTGGGTGGGACTACGGCTGACCACGCCGCCTCTGGCACGACACGGATCGCCTTGAAACCGTCGATCTCTCGTATTTCTGATGTTATTCACCGCTCATCGGCTGCCAAACCCGACGGCCACACTCCTGCTACCGGCCCAAAGACCTCGACGTCCGCAAAGACCAAGGAGAAACTAGTCGATGTTACCGACGCGAAGGGCAAGGAGGCGACGGAAAGCGTTCCGCTCGCGGCCTTACTGCTTACAAACAGCGGCGTTTTTCGTCGGTCCGTAGAAGATGAGGCTGAGCCTACAATCGAGGCCAAATCGAAGACATCCTTGCCAGAAACGGACAAACCTAGGGCGTCGGTAGGAACAGGCGATCCTTCAGCCGCTGAGCCCCCGAAATCAAGTGACATGATAGTCAAGAAGGGCGTGGTTGCCGACGCGCAGCAGCAGAAGAGGAGCAGGAATGAAGGAACCGCTGTAACAACAATCGATGATGACGGGTACCATCGGCGTCGGGAACCCCAAAGGACGAAACGAACCGCCACGACCTCAGAGACATCCGTGCCGGACATGGGAAGCGCTATCGACAACGGTGCACCGGCAGCGGAGGGGGTGTCCACGAATGACGCTATTGGAGGCGTGCTGATCGATGAAGACTACATGGCTGCCACGTTGCTGCTCGGGGTAGTTGTCGGGCTGGCCTTCTTGCCGTCCGGAGGTACCGCTCGGAAGGCGTCCCACGACGGCCCCTTCGTTGGCGGTGCCGTCGCGGAGAGTGGGCGGGGCACGGCCTCCCGCGCGCCTTGCGATGGAGACTCGCTTACAAGCGGCGGGTCTGAGCTTTGCGTGTCGCCCACGCGCTCGGCCGGTGCGGCGAGCGGGATCGCCGCCACGCCTTCCAGGATGCTGTTCATGCTCAACTTCGCCGTGTGGGTGTCTCTCGCCATCGGCTTCAGCAGCTACGGCAAGGCTTACCTCCGCGACACGCGCGACCCCGTGGGCCTCCTCGTTCTGCAGGGTGCGGTAGGTGTGATGGTGCTGTGCTCTCTCGGACGAGTGGGAATCCCGGACCTCCGTGCCGGCAAAGCCTTGACCCCCTCCGCCGCCCGCCACGCCGGGCTGGCTGCCCTCTTGCACACCGGGCAGGCGCTTCTGACCACCTTCGCCGTGTTATCGGGCGGGGTAGCCATGACAAACGGGTTGAAGGCCATAGAGCCGGTCGCCGCGGCCGTTTTTTCGTACTTCCTGCTCGGCAACAAGTGCTCCGCCCCGCGCGTGGTTGCGCTTGCCACGATCGTGGCGGGCATTTCCTTGCTGACCTCCAAAGACAACAATAATACCGGCAGCGGCAGCGACAGCGACTACGTCCTCGTCTCGGCGGTCTTCACCATGACGGCCGTGTGTTTCAACGCCCTCCGGAACGTCGTCATCAAAAAGGGCGACCCAATCCCTCCCCACCGCACCCTCCTCGCCTGCAGCGGGGCCGCGACGGTCGTCGGTGTCGGCCTTGTGTTGCTAAGGTCTGGCCTGCTTGCCTTGGTCGACTCCGACCTGGAGGACGGCCAGTCGATCAACTCGGGACGTGACCCCGGCGCTGGCTGGTTCCGGATGAGCGGGGTGAACGCCGGCCTCTGCTTCGTCGGCTACAACCTGGCCTCGTTCAACCTTCTGGTCCGCCTCAGCCCCGTCGGACACGCCGTGGGTAACTCCTGCAAGCGAATGCTCGTGTTCGCAATCGGCCTCCTGTTCCTGGGCGAGGTGATGACAGTTCGCCAGCTTGGCGGCACAGCGGTGGCCCTCTTCGGAGTGCTGGCGTACAACATTGCGGGCATCTGGTAATACCCCTCCGCCGCCATGGATACGTTGCTTCCGGGTAGCCAGCAAGGGGGTCGGATCATATGGAAAGTGAGTGGCGTTGTACGTTCTAGGCACCGTCTCATCGGACTAACGTGAGACTTGGCGTGGGTGAGAGCAGTGGCGTTTCGCTTGGGCTGCAGCTCCTCTCGGATGGTTTTGGACATGTAGGGTTCGTGATCGTGTGGATAGCGACTGATCCGAGCTGGCCCTCAGCGTACCGCGGCCTGCGTACGGTTGGTCGGGGAGAGGGTTCGTTAAACGGGATAGAAATGCACGACCCCGGGCTAACTCTAGCCACGGGGGCGGGGGGCGGGGAGCATTTTGGTATTCAAAAGTATTTTGGCCTGAAGGGCAACTCAAAGCTTTTCACATCCTGAACCATTTTGTTGTTGGGCAGGGCAACCTTACGCAGAGAATAGTATTGTATCACGCCCCACCGATTTCTTCGTGTTGCGGGCGTCGGGTGTGTCTTGATGGACAAGTGAATGCGCGCAAAAGAAGGAAGACCCACCGTGGGGCCAATTGTAGCAGGGGGAAGGGCACCTTCATTCGTGTTGAGGATGTTTTGATTCCGGGACCACCTCAAAGTTGTTTCCACATTATGGGCCGTTCGGGGGGGGGGGGGGCC